AGAGCCTTCAGTTTTCAGGCCCCTCTTCTGTGGAACCAGCTTCCAGTTTGGATTCGGGAGACAGACACTATCTCTACTTTTCTCTACTTCTCTACCACTCACTATGTATTAACAGACCTCTCTGCATTGAATCATATCTGTTATTAACCTCTGTCTCTCTTCCACAGCATGTCTGTATCCTGTCTTCCTTCTCTCACCCCAACCAATCACAGCAGATGCTCTCCACATGCAGGGCAACGGATGAAATCATTTATATTTCTGGTTTTAATTTTTCTTAGACAACCCAATGGAAACTAAAAACATACACAACAATTTCAAATCAACTTTATTGTCAACTTTTTACGTGTACAAAGTGATTTTGCTTTAATTTAGGTACATGAACACATCACACCCAGACAAAAAAGACTGCACAAATACGCGTGATCATATGTTTCTCCTCATATTGTCTTGTATGTTTTATCAGTTGTCTTTTACTGTGAATTTAGTGAGCACGAGAAGTTCATTAAACAAACCGCTGATGGCCTATTAAAATGAAAGTCATGTCAAACAGTTTGTCTGATTTCTTTCCTCCTGGCTGTTCTGTTTGTATATAACCTCCACCATCACCCCAGACAGCCTCGGCATGACCAAACATTACAATATAAAACGTGAAATCCACACCCTGTAAATGCTTTCACCACACCAACATAAAGTTATATGTTTCTTCTCTTAAAAATAAGGACTATGTTTGCTGAATTAGAGACTTCAGACTGAAGCTGCTGTCTCCCTCCAGCCTTTAGACTCCTTTTAATCATCTCATCATCTTTTTTTTTCTTCCACAAGAGGGCTCTGTAGAGGAGGAAAAAGACAGAGCAGAAACTGTTATCTTCACCTGTCCTGGCTTGGACAGAGCAATCACAGGAGGGGATGTTTACAGCAAGCAGGAACCTACAAGACTGAAAGATGAAACTCAAGCAACAAAACTGCAGTTCCTCTAATGTCAACTAGAGGCTCCAGCAGTGAGTCAAATCGCCTTGATGCATGCTCAATCATCCACATGAGTAAATCTCCAAAAGTTGATTCTGTTCATCTGGACGTAGCGTTTTCAGTGGGAGAAACGTTTCAGTGGGCTTTGATCATGATTATGAAGGAACTGACCTCCCAGCCCAATGACCTCCTTCAGTGGTGCTAGTTTCCGTCATGATGCAAATATACTGTTTATAAGATTGGGGAAAGTGACTTCTTCAGCTGAGACTAAAGAAGTTACTTGGATGAGTGACAAAATGTTCTCCCACTGAAAATACTACTTCCAGATGAACAGGATGAACTTTTGAAGATAGTGAATCCCGTGTTAAGATGTTAAACTTTACATGAGAAAAAAAACACATTTCTAGCCTGGCTGTTGATTATTTTCTCCTGAATAAAAACTGTAGAGGGGTTGATTTGTGTTTAACAACTCACCTGCTTAATAGTAAGTAACACAGTTAACATTTTTGCTAATTCTTGTTATTTTTCAGTTTTTTGTCAGCTAGTCTTAGTGAAAAGACCTTTTTCCACTTTAAACACCTATGTAGTGAGCAAAACATTAAAGAGGCCTGAGCAAATATAACCGGTTTCAGACTATAGTTAATCTGACTGTTGGTAACAAATAAAAATACAAAACAGGACAAAAATACTCTCGGTGTTTTGCTGTTTTCAGTAAAAATGTGGTCTGAATGTTTTTTTTCCGAGAGTAGAAAAGGATCACACAGCCTGACACACAAAATTTTATTTACTGATTTAGTACCTCTGAAACTGCTCGAGTGAAACCTCCTTCTTCAGCAGCCCAAAGAAGTAACCAGTTTTCGAGCCTCTTCGGCAGTATCAAAACCAGGTGCAGATTGAGGTACACCTTGAGCACGCTCACAGATTGAGAGGTTCTTTTTCAGATCATGAGAATCAAACTTCAGCACCTGAACAAGAAAATGTACAAAGAATTTATTTTACTGATACTGATACTGAACACCTAAACACTCTACAACAGTTAAACCAACAGTTATCAGAGGGCCACTAACAGCTGCAGCTTTAAGATGTTTGATATCTAAGAATGTTCCTGCAAGAGGAGCAGTGAAGGTACCTGTCCACTCTTCACATACAGGGCGAGGGCCACGTTATCCCAGACATAATATTCATTACAGGAAGGAACAACGACTGCCAGGTTGTTTTCCTCATCTCTTCTCAACTCATACCTGAGAAGAACACCAAAAATGTAGCATTTTAATGAGTTCAGAGATTTTTAAACTGCTTTAAAACACCTCACTGACACAGCTGAGAGAGAGAGAGAGAGAGAGAGAAAGACGGAAAAGGGAAGCTCAGGTGGCTGCAGGTAAAGCACACAGGTGGAAATTATTTTTCCTACCGGTGTGTCTCACACATGGCTTCTGATGTCCAGATGAAACGTCCATCTCTGTAAGCACAGACGGCCTTTGGATCATCAACCAGCTTGGGATACTGTTTGAAAGCCTCGTCATCATCTGGGCTGTGGACCAGCACAGCATACATCACTTCTTGTTTGTACAGGGAAGTCTTGAAGACCCGCATGACAGGCAGCATCCCAGAGCAAAACTGGAGAGAAAAAGACATGTTTTATTAGAAGAGATCTACAAATCAGTAACCTGATGAGCTGACATAAACAGACACACCTGGTTATTGTAATTTTAGTCATCTCTGCGCTTGTTGATTGTCTTTTTCTGTTTGTTTAGTGTCCTATTTGAACAAAATGTAGTGATTTTCTGTTCTATTTCTTTGTATTTATCAGTGAGCTTCACATTAATGTTTGTGTCCACTGGAAGAAAAGATTTAAGACTCTTTTGTGAATTCAAACATTCATTTAAACTGAAGGAGTCCATACCTGCTCGCTGTAGGCCTTAAGCACCTCCTGCACCATGAAGGTGAAGCGGTACGAGCCATACCTGGACTTCTCACCGAAGGCTGGAGAGGTGGCAAAGTCCATCAGGAAGTTCTGCTGTCTGTGGGCCTGCTCCTCGGTCCGGTGTGGGAAGGTATTCTCCAGGAGCATCCTCTCAGCTGACAAGATCTCCTCTGGTGCCACAGCCAGACTCCACCACACCAGAGACAGTTTGTCTGGTTCCTCTGCGCCATTTAAAGGATCCTTGAAGCCTCCATCTTTGTATACCTGACACAAAGATTCTCGGCCTGTGTCATGTTTCAGATGAGACACATGGAATTCTGGTTTGGGGTATTCAGGAATATTCATTTTGAAAATGTACTGGTTTCCAAACACAGAAGCTCGAGCTACTTCTCTCAAATCATCAAGCTTTAAATGCACATATTTTTTAAAATGTTCCACTGTTCCTCTTCTGTTTGTATAATCATCCATGATGAGATAGAGGAGAGTGTAGATAGGCAAATGAAAGCTTCTGCCAGGAGTATCAAAGGAGAGGAGTGATCTGTGTCGCTTGCAGCCTGCATACTTATACAGCTCTCCGCCACTGACTGATTACCATATGCTACAAGTTCACCTTCAAACACACCCACCCACACCAACACTTACAACCAATAAGCCACTTCGAATCTTGTTATTGTAATCAGTGTGGTGTAGAAGTAGGTGTGTACTGTAGTATACTACATGTGTTCATGCACAGCTGAAAAAGGCAGAGTGATGTGACTGAGCTCAGCCTCCATTTTCTATAGGGAGAAGCTCAGAGAGGCATTCAGTTTCATTTTACAGGAACAGCTTTGCTTCTGTTTTACATGCAGGTGCTGCACAGAACACATCCTGTTCAATCTCTGTGTGTGTGACTGACTCCAACTCAGACTAAAGGCTCGCTCAGCTGGTTCAACAGATCAGCAGTTTGCACAATTTTCATCTATGCAAACAAAGTCCTGTACACAGTGTGCTTAGTGCACTGGGTGTGTTATCTGTTAATAATCATGTTTAACATTGTAAAAGGGTCCCAACAAGTTGACTCTGTTCATCTTTTAGCCAAAACATGGCCTGGGCATGGTTCCAATTATGTTAATCTATCATTTTGCTCTGACCGCTGTACTCATGGAGGAGGTTGAGCCAAGTCCTTTGGCACCTGTCCTAACACACAAAGACATTTATTTAATATCATTTTCATCACAAGTTATTAACACATTCATTCTCTGATTCTTCTATCTACATGTTAAAATGTCTCTATCTCTCGCTCGTTGCACACGCTTCAGCCAATTTGCTTCAAAAATCTGCAGAGTTTGTGTTGTGTTCTTTAATATAGAAATAATCACAAATGTTCTCAGTATGTTTGCTTTGAAGG